TTTCTCACTTCATGGACCACATTCCTCCCTCTTGCAGGACAATAATTTAGGGAAAGTAAACTATTAATTTGGAATCAATTATTTCTTATTTTTTTTTATCCCAAAATATCAGTATTAATTAAAGTGAATTTTGATTTAAAAATCAATTATTAACACAAACTTTTATGTTTATGGGTTATTCTACCTAATAAAGATCTATTTTGATATAAAGTAAACAACCTAATATGTGTAATGGTAACTAGGCAACCAAGGATTACTATCTTTGAGTCAACTAAAAAGCAATTAAAAAGACTAGAAATGTAATAATATATTAAAATATTTACTCCACTAATAACTTCCTAAATGGGTTGAGTCGTTTGAGTCCAACAGCTTTTCAGTATTTATAAGAAAGCAAAAAAGGTGTAACTTAATTATTCATAACAATTACAATTTAAATGTATAAATAAAGAGTCAAGTTATAGCTTTCTGACTATGGGAATAAAAAGGAAAGAAAAAATAGCCAAAAGAATAAAAAATTGAAAATATTTTCCCTTATTGAAGACATGGTCAACTATTGTGGACAGAAATCAATGTCTTGTTTCAAAGAAAAATGAGTGTCATAGAAGTTGTTTGGACTAAAGGAAAGAAAATAATTTACGAGGCTTTAATAAAAATGTATCTTGTCTGTTCCAATTCGTTTGATCAAGTAGTTTAGCTATTAACTAGCTTATCACTATTATAATATTTCTTAATCTTGTTAATTTGATTTTACTGTATTATTTATGAATCATTTTGATACAAAAGTTGAATTTTCTTTTAATTTTCAACTATTTTAAAGTGCAAGACTTGATCACATCTATCGAAATTACTTTTCTAACGTGTAAAACAGATTAAAAAATGTGGACCTTTCAAATTATATGCTAATTTAATTTCCTTATTCAATTCATCTTTGATAAATTCACTTTTAGTTTGAGTCACGGAAAAGAGAAAAATATTATAAAGCACAAATTAACCAAATTTATATGTTATTTTATGTGTATAAAAATTTTACATTTAAATGTAGAATTAGATAGAAAATTAATTCCCCAGGTTAGTTGCCCATAAACTAACCTAGGGAATATTTATTTATAATATTTTTGTTGAATTGATTAGATAAAATAGTCACTAATTGATTCGAAAGTCTACAACCTTCATTATGACATATGTTTATCACATGAGATAAAAGTATGATCCTAAAGTCTTGATTTCTAAGAGACTAGCAGTATGCATACAATTTTTACCAAATTATATAGATAAAGTACTCTTTAAATTTGAATTTCATGAAGTATATAATTTAAAATAATCTGATAATTTTAAAATTTTAACAACATTTAAAAAATTGTTAGGGGAAAAAACATGATTTGAGAAACTAGAAAATATGTTTTATATGTCGTTTTAGAGAAAATATAGAAATTTCTCGCTACTATTTTCTATTATGAACTATAGAAAGTACCATCAATATTTTAATTTTTAGTTTATTTTATTTTTACAAAGAATACTAATTGAGAAACTGGTTTCATATAAAGACTTGGAATAAGTGAAAATTAGTAATAAATTAAAGAGATTATAATCTATTTTATTTATTTAAAAAATAATGGTTACTGTTTAAAAAAAAAAAAAAAAGAGATTAAAATGGATATTGTGAGAATCGCATAATAATAATAATATCACATCATTTTTATACAAGTAATGTTTAACTATAAATAAAGAAAATATTAATAGATTTAACTTCCCCACCCCCAACCAACAATTACTTCTTTAGAAAAGATCTTGTAATTTGTTCTCCAATTAACTACTTTATTAATTGGATTTGATGAAAAAAAATTGGCTATATGAAATTTTTTTGTTGAGTTAATACATTTACATTTATGATATATTAAAACTGTCTAAGAATTTCTCACTTCATGGACCACGTTCCTCCCTCTTGCAGGACAATAATTTAGGGAAAGTAAACTATTAATTTGGAATCAATTATTTCTTATTTTTTTTTATCCCAAAATATCAGTATTAATTAAAGTGAATTTTGATTTAAAAATCAATTATTAACACAAACTTTTATGTTTATGGGTTATTCTACCTAATAAAGATCTATTTTGATATAAAGTAAACAACCTAATATGTGTAATGGTAACTAGGCAACCAAGGATTACTATCTTTGAGTCAACTAAAAAGCAATTAAAAAGACTAGAAATGTAATAATATATTAAAATATTTACTCCACTAATAACTTCCTAAATGGGTTGAGTCCAACAGCTTTTCAGTATTTATAAGAAAGCAAAAAAGGTGTAACTTAATTATTCATAACAATTACAATTTAAATGTATAAATAAAGAGTCAAGTTATAGCTTTCTGACTATGGGAATAAAAAGGAAAGAAAAAATAGCCAAAAGAATAAAAAATTGAAAATATTTTCCCTTATTGAAGACATGGTCAACTATTGTGGACAGAAATCAATGTCTTGTTTCAAAGAAAAATGAGTGTCATAGAAGTTGTTTTGACTAAAGGAAAGAAAATAATTTACGAGGCTTTAATAAAAATGTATCTTGTCTGTTCCAATTCGTTTGATCAAGTAGTTTAGCTATTAACTAGCTTATCACTATTATAATATTTCTTAATCTTGTTAATTTGATTTTACTGTATTATTTATGAATCATTTTGATACAAAAGTTGAATTTTCTTTTAATTTTCAACTATTTTAAAGTGCAAGACTTGATCACATCTATCGAAATTACTTTTCTAACGTGTAAAACAGATTAAAAAATGTGGACCTTTCAAATTATATGCTAATTTAATTTCCTTATTCAATTCATCTTTGATAAATTCACTTTTAGTTTGAGTCACGGAAAAGAGAAAAATATTATAAAGCACAAATTAACCAAATTTATATGTTATTTTATGTGTATAAAAATTTTACATTTAAATGTAGAATTAGATAGAAAATTAATTCCCCAGGTTAGTTGCCCATAAACTAACCTAGGGAATATTTATTTATAATATTTTTGTTGAATTGATTAGATAAAATAGTCACTAATTGATTCGAAAGTCTACAACCTTCATTATGACATATGTTTATCACATGAGATAAAAGTATGATCCTAAAGTCTTGATTTCTAAGAGACTAGCAGTATGCATACAATTTTTACCAAATTATATAGATAAAGTACTCTTTAAATTTGAATTTCATGAAGTATATAATTTAAAATAATCTGATAATTTTAAAATTTTAACAACATTTAAAAAATTGTTAGGGGAAAAAACATGATTTGAGAAACTAGAAAATATGTTTTATATGTCGTTTTAGAGAAAATATAGAAATTTCTCGCTACTATTTTCTATTATGAACTATAGAAAGTACCATCAATATTTTAATTTTTAGTTTATTTTATTTTTACAAAGAATACTAATTGAGAAACTGGTTTCATATAAAGACTTGGAATAAGTGAAAATTAGTAATAAATTAAAGAGATTATAATCTATTTTATTTATTTAAAAAATAATGGTTACTGTTTAAAAAAAAAAAAAAAAAGAGATTAAAATGGATATTGTGAGAATCGCATAATAATAATAATATCACATCATTTTTATACAAGTAATGTTTAACTATAAATAAAGAAAATATTAATAGATTTAACTTCCCCACCCCCAACCAACAATTACTTCTTTAGAAAAGATCTTGTAATTTGTTCTCCAATTAACTACTTTATTAATTGGATTTGATGAAAAAAAATTGGCTATATGAAATTTTTTTCGTTGAGTTAATACATTTACATTTATGATATATTAAAACTGTCTAAGAATTTCTCACTTCATGGACCACGTTCCTCCCTCTTGCAGGACAATAATTTAGGGAAAGTAAACTATTAATTTGGAATCAATTATTTCTTATTTTTTTTTATCCCAAAATATCAGTATTAATTAAAGTGAATTTTGATTTAAAAATCAATTATTAACACAAACTTTTATGTTTATGGGTTATTCTACCTAATAAAGATCTATTTTGATATAAAGTAAACAACCTAATATGTGTAATGGTAACTAGGCAACCAAGGATTACTATCTTTGAGTCAACTAAAAAGCAATTAAAAAGACTAGAAATGTAATAATATATTAAAATATTTACTCCACTAATAACTTCCTAAATGGGTTGAGTCGTTTGAGTCCAACAGCTTTTCAGTATTTATAAGAAAGCAAAAAAGGTGTAATTTAATTATTCATAAAAATTACAATTTAAATGTATAAATAAAGAGTCAAGTTATAGCTTTTTGACTGTGGGAATAAAAAGGAAAGAAAAAATAGCCAAAAGAATAAAAAATTGATAATATTTTCCCTTATTGAAGACATGGTCAACTATTGTGGACAGAAATCAATGTCTTGTATCAAAGAAAAATGAGTGTCATAGAAGTTGTTTGGACTAAAGGAAAGAAAATAATTTACGAGGCTTTAATAAAAATGCATCTTCTCGGTTCCAATTCGTTTGATCAAGTAGTTCAGCTATTAACTAGTTTATCACTATTATAATATTTCTTAATCTTGTTAATTTGATTTTACTGTATTATTTATGAATCATTTAGATTGAATCATGGAAAAGAGAAAAATATTATAAAGCACAAATTAACCGAATTTATATATTTATATGTTATTTTATGTGTATAAAAATTTTACATTTAAATGTAGAATTAGATTGGAAATTAATTCCCTGGGTTAGTTGCCCAGAAACTGATTAGCGAGGAATAATCATAAACCACAAAAAGAATGAGAAAATTGTTAAGTTGACCAGTGAAGTCAATTGGGACAAACAAGTCTTATAATAACGATAGAGCATTAGAGCTGTTAATCAAGTTAGAATTACACATTATTATTCTTGAAGAAACAATATTAAACAAGAGTAATATTGGTTTATACATGTAATGATAATGTTCATGAAATCAGCAGCTTCAGTTTTAGCAATTGTTTGCTTGTATGTCAGTTGCATTTTCTTGCAGCTTCTTGTACTTGATGTAGCTCAAGCTCAAGCTCAAGCTCAAGCTACTACATCTCCTCGTGAAGGTCTGCGTCGAAGTGCAATTTTACTTATTTTCTTTTTATTATTTTAATTCTAAAAGATGCTTCACATTCAGACTCTGTCACTCACTTCATTCTTCTCATTTTTTGAGTTGCTTCTCATCTGTAATAGTGGCAGCATTGAATATAATTTTTAAAAAATGGGGGATTTCTGCAAATCAAAATCAATGGAATATAAGTGGAGAGCCATGTAGTGGAGCCGCCATTGACTACTCCATCGACCTTCATACCGATGGTTACAGCCCATTTATCAAATGTGATTGTTCTTACAACAAAAACACTCTTTGCCACATTATCGGGATGTAAATAGAAAAAGACAAAATTTTGAGAACTTGAGCCTTTCTTTAATTCCAGGGTTGCTTACTTTTACAATTTCTTAAATTATAGGAGTGTTTACACAGTGGAAGTTGACGGTGTGATCCCAGATGAGCTATGGAGTTTGAATTTCCTCATAGAACTGTATGGTTTTGTATATTTCATGTATGCTTACTTCAATTGTGTATAATTTTAGATCATTAGATGAGGGTGAGTGTTTATATAAATATTTTACTTTATTTTATTGAATTATGTTTAAATCTCTTGACACCATACTGTATCAACATCATAAAATGATTTGAGCTTTGTGTTCTTAAATATTAATATTATTACCAGTTGTTTGTTTTGAATAAGAACGTGACTGGTAATAGCTTTTCAGGTTCACTTTCTCCATCTATGGGTAATCTAACTGCATTAAAAATCCTTTAGGCAACTGTTAAAAAGATTTAATTTTGAAACTCATACTACTTTTTTTCTTATTTTTAATGCTAATTAGTTCTCATTTTCACCAGGGACTTTAGCGTTAATAGATTTTCTGGGCAGCTTCCAAAAGAGCTTGGGATGCTCTTTGAATTACAAGCCTTGTAAGCTCAAACTTTGTCCCCTTCTTAACTATATAACTTCTGATAATTTACAGTACGAACTCTTTTTTTGTAATTGCATTACAATTATATAACTGAAGAGCTAAATTCTCGGGGATGTAGAAATATTGGAAGAAACAATTTCTCTGGTCCTCTGCCATCTGAGCTTGGTAATTTGACGAAATTAAAGGACTTGTAAGTTTTTATAGATTTTTCAGATTCATTTTCAATGCAACATTTTGCTTATATTGAGCATATCCTATACGAACTCTTTTTTTTTTTAATTGCATTACAATTATATAACTGAAGTGCTAAATTCTTGGGGATGTAGAGCAATTGGAACAAACAACTTCTCTGGTCCTCTGCCATCTGAGCTCGGTAAATTGACGAAATTAAAGACATTGTAAGTTTTATAGACTTTTGGTTTCATGTTCAATGCAACATTTTGCTTATATTGAGCATATCCTACTTTATAATCTGTACAAAGATGCAAAAGGTAAAAACCCCAGCTGGCGATCTTAGCTTTAACATAAACCAAATTCTCAGTTACTTCACACAAGATTATACTATTATGTGTCACGTAATTCGTTTACTTGGTGATGGCTTTTATCATCAAGATACAGAATAATGATGGAATTTATAAATATTCTTTACCTTGGCAGATATATAGACAGTGCTGGAGTAAGTGGTGAGATTCCTTCAAGTTTTGCAAATCTAAAGAACCTAGAGTTACTGTAAGGACCTCTTGATTATGTTAATTTTCTAATTGGAAATTTCCGAATATTAAATCCAACAGAAGAATTTTCTTCTTAAAAGGAAGAATGTGACGTAAATCCACTGCTAATGGGAAAAGGGCTTGTATCAGATCTTAAATAAACTCTTTTTATTGTGCTCAGGTGGGCTTTTGACAATGAATTTACAGGAAGGATCCCTGACTTTATAGGAAACTGGCCAAATATGGAAGAATTGTGAGAAAACTATTCTAATTTTTTTGCTAAACTACTCTTTAGTTATTGTAGGTTAAAGCTTTTTAACTGAGAATTTCATTTTTTTTCTTTTCATACAATTTATTGTAGAAGATTTCAAGGAAACTCTTTTCAAGGGCCAATACCGTCATCCTTTTCCAAGCTGACAAACCTGACAGATTTGTGAGTGTTCACCAACAATATTTAATTGATCATGTTTTACTATTGCAATAATCAATGCTAACAATCTTAATCCCATGAAAAATAAAAATGTAGGATAATAAGCGATTTATCAAATGGGAGCTCATCGTCGTTGGCATTTATAAGGAATTTGAAATCTTTAACTACCTTGTAAGGCAGCACTGTCAAAGTTGTAATATCATGTGTTGAGTTTCCTCATCTATGCCTTTTGTTTTTTTTTCTTCCTTTTGTTTCTTTGTTCAAGACTGTTGGTTCCATATACTGCAGAGTACTAAGGAATAACAAAATTTCTGATTCAATTCCATCTAACATCATTGACTACCAGAGTTTGCAGCATTTGTAAGTTATTTATTCCCTTTCTCTTTTTTATTTTTACCTCCATTACTTTTTGGTTGTTAGCAAGTTTCTTCATCTTATAATTGTAAATTCTAATATTTTTTCTTCAGAGATTTGAGTTTCAACAATATAAGCGGACAGATTCCTATCTCGCTTTTCAGTTTGAGTTCACTGGCTTACCTGTAACCTACCATTTCTGATTTGTTGTGGCTTTTACTTCCCATAGTCCATAGTGTACTCATTATAGTGAAACATGAATCGCTGGTTTTGTACTCAGGTTTCTTGGAAATAATAGGTTAAATGGTACCCTCCCTGCAGAGAAAAGTCCAAAACTTCTCAATATGTAAGTACTTTTGGCATATTTGCATCGACCTCTTTATAGCATTCCCAAAATAGAATGCTTAACTTGTTGTACCAAATGAAAAGGTGTAGTTATACGTTGAGTTTTTCCAAGAACCCTAGTTTGTAGCCAAAGTCACTCTAGCGAAAGGCTAAACTTGCATTCTTGATCTAGACTTTCAAGTGCATAGCTTCTCCTAGATTAAAGTTAATTATTTAGACTTGTGGGGTTCCTAGGAAAAAAAATTGGGAAGTTGAGGTTCTAGATGGTTTCAAAAGCTTATAAAAAAAATAAAAATAGTGTGATTTCAATAATGCCTAAATTTTATACTCGCAAGCAACTGCATTGTGTAGTTAACATTCTCCTCACTTGATGTTAGCAGAGATGTATCTTACAATAATCTATCTGGCAGCCTGCCATCTTGGATTCAACAACAAAATTTACAATTGTATGTCCTCAATTTTTTGAAACATATAATTTATTTAACATCTTTGCTATACATTTCACATTTTACTAGATAGTTTTTACTTTCTAGTATAGTATTTACACAATGATGAAACTAACATTTAGAATGTTATTGGTGCAATGTGTAGTAACTTAGTGGCCAACAACTTCAACCTAGAAAGTTCTAATTCCAGCAGGTAATTCTCTTGTTCTATGTTTTGTTAAAATGCTTGAGACTCTCTATAACAACTTAGAAAATGAATAATAATGGATAACTTATGGAAATGGGTTCTTTAGTTGCTAGTTCCCGCTGTCTAACATGATTTCTCTGTTCTTCCCCTTCCTTTAGTGTTCTCCCATATAGCTTGAACTGTCTCCAACGCAATTTTCCTTGCAATCGAGGTTCTGGAATCTGTAAGTACAACTTCTCCACTTCGTGGTTTTGAGAGTTTAGGGCTAAAATTTAGGTAGAGTAACCCTTATTTTAACGCTCGTCCCAAATTTAAATATTCTATTAAAAACACTTCTAATAGCCATTCATCAACCCACAACATACATAACAAACATGTGATCTCCGGCCACACCAATATTTATTAAATACATCAATTCATACAACTTCAAATTAAAGATTATATATTTTTCATAATATATCTATGCTCATGGCTTTGAGTAGGGTCCAACTAAGTAGATGTTATCCTCTGGATTTAATCATTAGGATGTAGGCTTGCCTGTGTTTTGCTTTCAGGCTTCACATAATCGTCGAACACTGAAAATGCATCTACTTAGTTATAAGGACCTAAGCCTTATAATTTGAATCCTAAACTCATTTGCTAGCAATGTGGGATTAACAAACTCTTTACCTTATGGACCTCACATCCTTGTGAGGTTGTCACATTGCATTATTGAGTCGCGAACTAACTTTGATATAATTGTCAATCCGAAATCCAGCCAATTAAATATTTTCCAACTCTAGTAAATTCTTGCCTGACTCTATATTTTAACCCAACCCAATTTTTTACTATTTCTCTTTTTCTTTCCTTCTCCTCGTTCTCTTATTTTCCTTATTCTCTTCTCACTCGTAGCTAACTCTTTGTAAGAACGAAAGAAAGCTTATCAAATGAAATATGAATGTCATGATCGTGGCTAATCACTGAGATTATGCCAATCACCCAAAATCACTCAATTAATTTATTAATTCTTTGATAATGTAATTACATTATTGTGATTGACAATCACCCGAAATCACTCAATCAATCAATTCCTTAATGGAGTGTAATTACATTATTTTGTTTCCTTATTGTATAGCTAAAATTTTGTATAAATACGAGATGTATTCACAAGTCAAAGTAATTCAATAAAATACAATTGAATTCATCTAAAGATATCTCTCAGGCCTATTACGACTTTCTTCAAATTGCCTCTCTTGCCGTCCCAATTCAAACATTATCTTCTTTTCTTTTCTTTTGCTTTCTATTTGGCTAAGATATAAGACACCGAGATTTTTCATTTTTCTTTGCAATTAAACCCCTCCTATATATTACCTATCTTAATTCATTATTTCCTTAGTCACCCTCACTCAAATTTTTAATTCACTCCTAAAAAAGATATATTTGTTTTCTTAATATACCCTTCTAATACCCTTTTTCTTATTGTTGAAAAAGAAAAATGATTAATATAAAATATATACTCACAACTAATTAAATAAAAGTAAAATAATAAGTGGCTAGATATTTTAAATCAAACTTTTAGACATACATATTCTTAATGTTTTACCCTGATAAGAGGTTACATTGGTATGCAGATTCGAGCTTTGCAATTAATTGTGCCGATCAAACAATTACATCTCACGATATTGTGTATGAGAGTGACATTGAGCCTCTGGGTCCTGCTACATACTATTTGACAGACACAAATAGATGGGGAGTTAGTAATGTTGGATACTTTATTGAGAATAATAATTTACAGTATAAGATTAATTCTGCATCCACAGTCACAAATACTCAAGAGCTGAGACTTTTCCAAAGTGCTCGAATCTCTGCTTCATCTTTAAGATACTATGGTTTAGGCCTTCAAAATGGAAAGTACACTGTGACTCTCCATTTTGCAGAATTAGCTAATTTAACGAGCAAATGGGGGAGGCGTGTTTTCGATATATATCTTCAGGTATGTATTACATATTTAGATTATTTTAGCCAAATTCGCCTCACTTATACATATATCACATACGTTTATGTTGAGGTTAAAGCATGATGAATGACCTTAAATGTAATACGTTTCCCAATATCTTTCCTTTCAATTGTTATTGGTTTTTGTTTTAGCATTTAAATCTTTTTATTCTAGGAAAATCTTGTTGAGAAAGACTTTGACATAACAAGGGTAGCGGGTGGAGTCCTTGGAAGAGCAGTTCAAAGAGAATATCTGGCTCAGGTATCTGAAAACTACATGGAAATCCACTTGTTTTGGGCTGGGAAAGGGACTTGCTGTATTCCTGACACTGGTACATATGGACCCTCTATTTCGGCCATCAGTGTTACCCCAGGTTCAATAAATAACAACTTCTTTTTTTGTCCTTTTTCCTATTTTGGTTGATTTTCTTGCATTATATAAGATATTAATCAATTACTGAGCTTTGATACAGATTTTGAACCAAGTCAAATCACTGAGAAGAATAGAATAGGCCTAATTGTGGGGATTATTGTTGTACTTGGGGTTGTATTTCTGTTACTTGCAATTTTCTTCGTTGTCCAAAGAAGAAAAAGGCCACAGATGGTTGATAACGGTAAATCAAAAGATCTTTGCTATCACTAGCATCTTATCTCTCATATTTACTAGCTATGAAAATACTATTGTTAGTCTGCATTTGGATCTAGTCTTTTATTTTGGTTAGCATCTCGGCCATATGCTGACTTAATCCTTTTAAAATGTTTGAATACTGAATTACATAATTTATCAAGTAACTCTGGCTCATGTACAAGAAAGCTATTGTACATAGAAAAGAACAATGTATTTTACTAATGCTTGTTTAATTCATAAAGCAGAGTTCCATTAGTAAGTTCTTAAGTGCATTACAAGATAAGAAGTTGGATTCTAGGATAAGAACTTGGATTCTAGGTTATTAAAAGGAACAAAACTGTGCCATCTTTTTGAAACATATGGAACTCTTGGTCATTTTAGTTTTCATCAAATTGCTTACTCTTCAGGCAAAAAACTGTGTTACAATCCCATAATTAGACAAGTGCATTTGTTATTTCCTGCATTTCACATGTTTGACTTGACAACCCTACAAAAGTATTTGATTAGACAAACAAGTTTCTGATAGCAAGCTAAGTTTGTTGTTGAATTTTCAGAGCTTCTCGACATGGATGTTAGACCATACACTTTCAGTTATGTGGAACTAAAGACTGCTACAGAAGACTTCAGCTCTGCAAATAAGCTTGGAGAGGGAGGATATGGATCAGTTTATAAGGTAAGTTATTGTTCTGTCAGTGCCAAATGAGCGGTAAGCACATTTGGTGCCTTAAAATTAATATATTTTCAAGAACTAAATACAAGTTTTAGCATTACCTTTTGTCCTAGATTGACTTCAAAACACAATCTTTTTGGCTCTATATTAGTAAATAGTCAGGCCATCTTTGAGTTATGTTCTCTTTGGCTCATTAAATAAAGACTGGATGTGGTATTTGGTCAATAATAAGCATATAAAATTGGTCAATTGTTAACTGATGTTTCTCACCATTTCAAGTTAAACATTTTACACAATAGGGAATACTCAGTGATGGAAGACTAATTGCTGTGAAGCAATTATCTATAGCATCTCGCCACGGGAAGAGCCAGTTTACTGCAGAAATTGCTATTATATCTGCCGTGCAGCATCGTAACCTAGTAAAACTTCATGGATGTTGTTTTGAGAGAGCACAACGAATCCTTGTTTATGAATATCTAGAAAACAATAGTCTTGATAAAGCATTATTTGGTATGTGAATAGCATATATGTTGTACTAAATTTTTCTTCGTAGTCTTAGCATTATTGTCATGTCAATAACAGTTTAAACTTTGTGACTTTTGCGAAGTAGGAAAAGGAAGTTTGCACCTTGATTGGTCAATGCGTTATAATATTTGTTTAGGAGTAGCAAGAGGTCTAGCTTATCTTCATGAGGAATCGAGGCTTCGAGTTATACATAGAGACGTGAAAGCCAGTAATATTCTGCTTGATGGTAATCTCATCCCCAAAATATCAGATTTTGGTTTGGCAAAACTTTATGATGATCAGAAGACTCACATAAGCACTCGTGTTGCAGGGACAATGTAAGACTTTTAATTTACACCTAAAATTTATTAAAATATTATGTCTTTACATTCATTAGATTAGTAAAATGAATTTTTCCTCTATTGTGTCGATGTAGTGGATATCTTGCACCAGAGTATGCCATGCGTGGATATCTTACGGAGAAGACTGATGTGTTTGCCTTTGGCATTGTGATTCTAGAGGTTGTTAGTGGGAGGCCAAACTCGGATTCAAGCTTGGAAGAAGAGAAGATGTATCTTCTTGATTGGGTAATGACATTGACGTATCATTTTTTTCTTTTTTACTATCTTATAGTACTTGATAAATAACTTTGAAAGAACCAAACAAGGCCAAATTTGATCTGCATATACATATACATATATGCTTTTATTTTCTACTTCTCCTCCCAATCCAGTCACTCATATATCACAACTTCTCTCTTTCCTGCTTAATTCCTAGGCTTGGCATCTATATAAGAACAACCGCCAGCTAGAACTAGTGGACTCAAAATTGTCTGAATTCTGTGAGGAAAAAGTAAAAAGCCTAATAGGAGTAGCTCTTTTGTGTACTCAGACATTGCCCTCCTCAAGGCCATCAATGTCTCGCGTGATTGCTATGCTTTGTGGAGATATGGAAGTAAGTACAATAAATTCTAAGCCTGGATACTTGACTGAATGGGCATTTGATGATGTGACTACCTTTGTTAGTGATGATATAAATGAAGAATGTGAAGAGGCTAGCCATTACATCTCGTCAACAAGGTTAAGTACAACGGATAAAACTCCAGAAATAAGTGTTGCTGAAGCCCGGCTCCATTGATTGGCTTTTACTTTAGATTCCAATATTGTTTCATAATGTTAAAAAATTTAAGACTGACAAACTCTAGCAAAAAATATACGAATAGATTTTGAACTACTTCTTGTTCAACAAGAACAGTACTGAATCTTCACCGGGAAATGGAAATTTATTTTGAATTACTTCTTCTTCAATAAGTATAGGGGCTAAAGCTTCACCAAGAAATTGAAATGAAGGAATTCTCCATGACTTTACTAGAAAGAGTGGATAACAAATTAATATTTTTTGCTTGACTGAAGTGTGAGTTATTGAAGTTTTTTTTATGTATATTCTTTGATTTGAAAGGAAAGGTGCCCAACTTTCTGTAAGCTTAGCCCAATTACTAAGCTTTAGCTTAGTAATCTGGGACACAATTGGGTTGTTACAATCTACCATGTTTGTGCTACTTGTTGGGATATTGTGGCTCGCTTTCCTATTTGTTCACATGTGAAATTGTATGTCTTTAGGAAAACTATTTGGTAAAAAATATAATTGTAAATAGGAATAGAATTTAGAAGTCCTAATAGGAATTGAAATATGAATCCTATTCAAAATAGAATATCTCATAAACTACCTATAAATATAAGGGTGAGAACTAATTCAAGGTTATGAGAGAATGTGAGAACACAAGGTATTTGATGTAAGGGTTATTAAATATCATGGGGAGAGTGTCTTAGAAATTGGGATTGTTTTCACTCTAGGTATTGGGTTGAGCATGGTTAGAAACTAGAATGTTTCTGCTTTGTTTTATATAACAGGTTTATGGTGTTATGTACTCTTGTATATCGTATTCATGAAATGTCGAACTGGTTATCACATTCACAAAATTAAACCTAAATACCGTAGTTAGCGATAAGCGGGGTCAAATCCACAAAGAGCAAGACTAACAACCTAATGTATTTTGAGTAGCGGAAATGAAATTGGCAATTTGATTAATTAAACTAAACAAACTAAACGCAAATAATAAAAGCGTGAAATTAAAACAAATGAAGACTTTATAATAAAAATGTTGCTGTTACGGTTTTGGTTCGACACGAGACCGACTCACACAATTCTTCTCCACCTTCTACGATCCCCTAAACCTACAAAGCAAGTTAAATCAATGAAATCACCTCTTAGCACTCTAGGTATGATCTATCCTGTCTCACCCGATCACTCAAGTTTGATTGGTTAAAGACTATCATTGAACGCCAATAAACGCTACATGACAATACCACTAGTTGGTACGCGATTAACTAATACAATTTGTCAACACGTATCTTCCAATCAACCAACTGCACAATAAACGCAACAACAGTAGAAATGAAATTAAATCCGAACACAACTTAATTACAATCGATGCGAAGTAATGGAAAGCAATATTCATCATTTAATTATTTCAAACCAATGTTTATCATTCAGCTAGTTCTATGAAAACATTAAATCACAATGGACACAATATTCATCACAAATTATGCTCAAATCATATTAAAATATCGAAATCAAACATGAAACAAAAACAAATATAATTCGAAACACAATACTACCAAATGTCCTGCAATCAGGCTCATCCAACTAGTCGAGAGCTGATGAGCAGAGTCGTGGAGTCAATCTCGATCTTGCCTACGCCGTAACAGACAACCGGGAACTCAGCCGCTCATAGTGGTGATGGCGGAGGCTGAAACGGTGGAAATGAAGCTGATCATGGTGGGGAGGAGGTAACCGATAGTGATATGATGCGAAGAAGGGGCAAAAATGACCAACGAACAACCCGAAATACGAATAGTCACACTCACCGAAAAATGTTAATTTTCTGACGGGTCTTTCGAAAAATGTTAGTGGAAATGGGATCCGAAGGTACCGATGGAAAGCTTTGGTGATAGGGAGTTCAGATCAGGTCCTAGGGAGATGAAAGGTAGCCGAAAATGAGCGAGATCGTTGCTGGAAGATGAAGAGGTGCGGCGGTTAGATGGTGGATTCCGGCGGTTTTGGCGACAACTGAAGCTTGGAAATGTTAGATCCGGCTGTGAGGAAGGAAAATCAACCATCAAGAAGCTGAAACATCATCGAAAACTGGAGAAATCATGGCTGAAAGATGAAGAGTCGCGGCGGCGGAATGTGAAAAGTCACTGCGATGGTGCGTGATTTGCAGTGGTGATGGCTGCTGATGAAGATCGATGCACGGGGAAGATGGATTGTCGTCGGAAAGGAAGATGAAGAGCGGCCGGAAAATGGATGAATAGTGCACCCCTGTAACGCGACCTTTCATTTTCTTTTTATAGACAAACTGCAAAATATCACTTTGTCCCTGGACGATTGAAAAGTGGCAAAATCAACCCTTATAAATATGATAGTTTACCTCCTAAACAGCATAAATGAGACAAAATCACCCCTAATCCATAAACCACAACCTAATATCAACTCATATCCTTTCCAAAATCATTCCAAACATGTTAAATTCATAAGAAAAATATTAGGAAGCGATTTTCGTGAATAAATTCATAAATTCTTTAATTGTCTCAATATACTTCAATTTAATCACACTTGGGGTATTTTTATCTCCAAAATAGAGTCACTTTCATGAATCTAACATGAAACTATAGTGGATTTCTCTCATCCGTGGATATAGGTGGGTTATGTCGAACCACGTAAATATTGTGTCTCTTTCTCTGATGTGATTTTATTCTTATGTTATTTATCTCGAAAGTATGTTTTTCTCTACGTGATCTCCTAACAAGTGGTACAAGAGCTCCAAGTTGCAACCTAGGAGATGAGTTATTTCGAGATGGTGGATGCACATAAAAGACAGACTTCAACAAGTTTAAGTTGTAGGTGGAATGGTTCTCAAATCTTGGCGGCAAAATTTGGCATGGTTACTATGCGACCTGGATGCTAGTAGAATTCGACATGGTTACTCTATGACGTGGATGCCATGATGGTGGATGTTAACTTCGTCATGCTCATTGCTATGATGGAAAACTCTCATGTTCATTGCTGTGATGGAAAACTTGCCAAGGTGGAGATTGTGGCTCACTTTCCTAGTTGTTCCCATTTGAGATTGTATATCTTTAGGAAAACTATTTAGTAAAGAATACAATTATAAATAGGAATAAAATTTAGGAGTCCTAATAGGAATTGAAATACGAATCTTATTCAAAATAGAATATCTCATATACTACCTATAAATATAGGGGTGAGAACCAATTCATGGTTATGAGAAAACGTGAAAACGCTGGGTATTTGATGTAAGGGTTATTAAACACCACGGGGAGAGAGTGTCTTAGAAACTAGGTTTGTTTCCACTCTAGGTACTGGGTCGAGCGTAGTTAGAAACTAGAATGTTTCCACTCTGTTTTATGTATTAGGTTTATGGTGCTATATACTCTTGTACATCGTGTTCATGAAACTATAGTGGATTTCTCTCATCCATGGATGTAGGCGGGTTATGCCAAACCACATAAATATTGTGTCTTTCTATCTGATATGATTTTATTCCTATGTTATTTATCTCGAAAGTATGTTTTTCTCTACGTGATCTCTTAACAAGTGGTACCAGAGCTCCAAGTTGCAACCTAGGAGATTAGTTATTTTGAGATAGTGGATGCACATAAAAGATGGACTTCAACAAGTTTAAGTTGTAGGTGGAGTGGTTCTCAAATCTTGGCGGCAAAATTTGGCATGGTTACTATGTGACCTGGATGCTAGTAGAATTCGACATGGTTACTCTATGACGTGGATGCCATGATGGTGGATGTTAACTTCGTCATGCTCATCGCTATGATGGAAAACTCTCATGTTCATTGTTGTGATGGAAAACTCACCAAGGTGGAGATTGTTGGGATATTGTGGCTCGCTTTCCTAGTTGTTCCCATTTGAGATTGTATATCTTTAGGAAAACTATTTAGTAAAGAATACAATTGTAAATAGGAATAAAATTTTAAGAGTCCTAATAGGAATTGAAATACAAATCTTATTCAAAATAGAATATCTCATATACTACTTATAAATATAGGGGTGAGAACCAATTCATGGTTATGAGAAAACATGAGAACGCCAGGTATTTGATGTAAGGGTTATTAAACACCATGGGGAGAGAGTGTCTTAGAAACTGGGATTGTTTCCACTCTAGGTATTGGGTTGAGCGTAGTTAGAAAATAGAATGTTTCCACTTTGTTTTATGTATCAGGTTTATGGTGCTATGTACTCTTGTACATCGTGTTCATGAAACTATAGTGGATTTCTCTCATCCATGGGTGTAGGCAGGTTATGCCAAACCACATAAATATTGTGTCTTTCTATCTGATATGATTTTATTCCTATGTTATTTATCTCGAAAGCATGTTTTTCACTACGTGATCCCCTAACACTACCAACAACCACGATAATCCATTCATTCAACTAGATTTCATCTTTTGAAACACCAAGATTTTACTAAGTAAACATTCATTTCAAATGTTTTTAAACTTTAAATTCAATTCACTTTTAAAAAAAAAAAATAAAACAATCAAGATCACTGCCTAAATCAAATTTCAAACTTCAAATTTTAGAGTGGTACATTTTCTAATCACTAATAAAAATATAGTCCACGAAATCTAATTTCAACATCAACTCGATTGAAGCTTAGGCGAACAACTTATAATATTATTTATATGATAATACCAAAGTTAAAGAATCTGTACATACTTTGATATAAAAAGTGCTTCATATATAAAGAAAATGTTCTAGCATGCTAATTATGAAAGATATTATTATTATTATTATTATTATTATTATAATATATATATATATATATATATCTCTGTGTGTGTGTGTGTGTGTGTGTGTGTGTGTATACATATACATTTTCCCATGGCAAGTCCCCACCCTTAGTTTCATAAATTCCAGTTCACACCCTTAAATTAACACTGTTAGTGATTTTTGGATTCTGACATAGTATAGAGAGTGTTGTGTGGGCTTGGCTAGCGGCCGGTGGAGAGAACGGAAAAGCTGTCGGTGGTAAGTTTATT